CCAAAATCATCTACCCTGCCCCGTGAAAAAAAATCGTTTCCCAATGTGTCTGTGTGTGCGCGCGCGCATGTGTGTTTAACACGGAGGCTCCGGTATCGATGCACGAATTCAATCCAGCGGATCCATACGCAGCGCCTCTCTGACCTTATTAAGTGAATCCGTCAAATGTTGTTTCACAGCCGGCGGGCACACAAATGAAACGAACGCCATCCGTTCTCTTTGGATGGTACTTTTCCTCACCGTTTTGATTGTCCTGTGCCAGAAACAAAAGTCAACTCCAATTCTCAAACGGTTGTTTGAACTTCCTCCTTCTGTACAAATGTACAGCAATCCCGACATTAAAAAATACATATTTAAATGAACCCCAAAAGCTCATTTATACTATTCATCGACAAAGAAGAAAACAAAAGGGCATTTTTTTCTGTAATGATGCTCATGAATAAACATAAAATGGAGTTCCAGTTATTTTTTAAAGGCATTTTTCATTCATGAAAACCTTCTCTTAATTTGTTTTTTCTTCACTTCAAGAACTTTGAGGCACACGCCGTCGGTGCGGAACAACGCAGCTTCCAATGAATGCTGCGCTTTGCTGCAGCACCTTGATTCATTGCTTCCACCGACAGTCTGTGCGTATGCGCACACGTGCAAACGTGTGTTCTGACAAAAAAAAAAAAAAAAAAAACCTCACGGCGTTAAAGTTAACACCTTATTCAGCAAAAAACAAACTAAAAGTCCTCATAGGACAAAAAAAACTCCTGCTCACTGCCCTCTTGTATATTCCGTCTGACACAGACATCACCTCCCGACACAATTGAGCACATGCACACTTCTACTTTCCCAAAACTTTACACTCGCCTATAGTGTACTGGAGCGCACACACACGCCCAACTGCACACATGTACATGCAACTGCATTTATTCGCCCATAAGCAGGCGCCCACGCTCCCGCTTTATGTATGTGGTTCATGCATTAAGCATCGAGGTGAGCAGCTGCAGTCCTCACGCATGCACATGACTGATGTTCGGTTGAAGGAAGCGACGCGCCGTCGCGCAAAGAGTGCAAATTGGCAGCGCGTGTGTTGTGATCGCACGTGCGCCTTTGTGGCACACTGTTTGTGATGACTCTCGGCGTCCTTGTCCAAGGGCGCCCTTTGGTTCTCACTCTCTGCTGCACACACTGAGATGGATGTGTGTGTGTGTGTGTGTGTGGTTGGAGCAGTCTGACCCTCGAGCGGGAGTCTGAGTGTACTAACTCCGAAATGTACTTAAAAGCAAACGTAAAGGGGAATTTTTGACTGTCAATTCCGACCACTTGCAGTGCATACGAATCTGCTTGGTGTCAGTTGCTCCTATTGTGGTAACCATGGCGACGCATCATCCTTCTTCTCTTCCTCTTCGGCCCGTCGTGTCTTTATCGGGGGGCGGCGTGAGCGCTGACAGCAATAATGACGTGACGTGACGCTCTTGTCGCCATCTAGTCAAGAGGTCCTCTATTTACCGCGTTTCATTTCAGATATTAGACAGTGTCATCAGCAGCTATTGTCTGCACCTGCTGACTGGATTTCATTCCACAAGTTAGACTAAACCTTTAGTCCGGCCAGCTCTGCTTCGTTGCCGTATTTCATTCTTGTCTCCTTCTTTTATCGTTCTTACCTATATCGTAGATTTCATTTGATGGTGTCATTCGAACAAATGTGTTTGCATTTACTCGCTGGATTTCATTCCAGTTTCTCAAATCTGTCCTCGGCACGCTCTTGTCTCAGTCTATGTACTGGATTGCGATCCAGATATTAGAGAGTGTCATCAGAATGCACTCATTTGTTTGCAGATAGAATTTTATGGCAGATATTAGACTGTAGCAGCTGCTTTTGTCTCCATTTATTTACCGCGAGTCCTTTACAGCAAAGGCCAACCGCTGTCTTATTTTTTTTCATATCACCAACAGTGTAAGAAAACGTTCCTGGGCCCTACTGGGAAGCGCCAGTGGATATTTTTAGGTGCTCCGCCGGGAATGCGGGCCGTCCAGCAACTGGCAAGTGGGTAACCTGCTTTTTTTTTTTTTTCTCGAATGGATCCCTGCTGAGCATGGACGTTTTATCTGGTAGTGCAGTACTTTAGGGTAGAATGCGGAAACCAACAGGGGAAGATCATCGGGAGGAATGGGCCCAAGATATTTTGGTTTGTGGCCCCCTACGTTTAAAAATAACACTTTGTGGCCCCCTACATTAGGTATAGCAAGCATGGCCGTCAAAGAAAAAGCAAACATGAAAAGGATTGCCCAGGCCACTTGTTCCATCGAAGGGGAATTTTTCCAAATCTTGACGTCCGAGTTCAAGCCTCATCTTTTGCAAATGTGCACATTTTTGAGCAGTTGATCGCCGCTATGCTATCAGCCTAACGATGTGTAAAAATGCGGCGGCACGTCAACTTACGAGTGATCATCGCATTCCGTCAGGTTGTCTCCCGAGCAACCAGGTGTCCTCCAACAAATGGAATGCGGATCGATTTTCACATTCCCGTAACGCATTTCTTATTTTTTTTTCCGTCAGTCAGTCTAACCTCCACCTCGCGACTTCTGAAGGAACGTCTCGTTCGGCCTTCGGGAGGTTCTTTGCCGCATGAGTGATGGCTTTGCCTCCTCTGGCTTTTCTTTGTCTCGCCTCCTCCTTCCTCCTGTTTCCCCGCCTGCTCGGGTGCCTACTTTGTCCTCTTTCCAGGTCGCCATGGTGACGGGAGGTTGCGCCGCCCGGCGACGGCTGGCGCGCCCGAGCGCCTCTGCTCGGTCGTAACTCACCAAGGTGTCAGCGGCGGCGCTGGAAACTCGCTCTCGATAGACCGTTGAGGAGGCAAACGAGGGAATGGGATTCGGTGAGATCAGCTCACATTTAGAGCGAGGCATGGAAAAACGGACCGGTCGCCAATCAGTGGCTGGGAAATCTATCCATCCATCCAATTTGACTCACAGATAAAAGCAAGTGGCTTGTCATGCTCAAATTCAAGCCGCAAATCCATTTTTGGAGGTGGCAGCCTGGCAAACGAGGAAGCCGCGCTAACTAGTCCTCGACATCAAATAAGGCCAAATACGCACGCGAGCGTCTTCCCACTCAAAGCTGGTCACGGTGGAGGTGTTGTTTTCCACAAATCATCAAAGAGTCGCTTTTGGCACAGGAGCAGCTGAGAGACGCGCGCGTCAGCATTTTTCTTCGCGCAACACCAACTGCCAGACTGCCGCTGTCTGGCTGGATGTCACGTGCGCGCTCAAAGAGACGCTCGGACTCGAGCCGGGGAGCCGGGGAGCCCAGGAATCGACGACACCGCTCACGTGATCGAGTGAGAAACATCTGGAAAATGTGGCAGTGTTTGAAAGCGATGGCGAATGACCCTTTGGGCCTGCCTGCCCGCCGGCCCGTTTCTGGAAACGTGGCCGTGAGCGAGCCATTCGGCGTGGCGGGATCTCAAGTTGTGCTCGAGAGAGTTTCACTGGTGTACGTCAGATGATTTCTGTAGTGTGTGAGGCTATTTCTGTTGCGTTCATGTGCTTGAGTGAGTCATTTTTTTGCTCACATGTCTGACAGGATTTCCATTATCCGTACGAGAACGTTTCAATAGCATCTCCTCGATGGCAACCAAGATTATTATTTTTTTTCCCCATCGGCACGGCGATCTCTCCTTTTTCATCTTGCGGAGTTTGTCAGGGTGTCTTACGTAAAGCTCTTTCTTGTACTTCCTCACACGTTGTACTATGGGAGCCGAGTGGTAGGCGGGCGGGCAACATACTGAGTGAGAGTTGAACACAACAGAGGAAAAAGAAACGATGGGAGCTGAACTTCCTCCGCTCGCGCGCACGCGTGTGTGGAGTACGTGTGAGAGTGCGTGTGGTGTGCCCTGCCCAGCGATGCTGTTGCGGCTGCAGAGTAAGATAAATGATCTCATATGTGGTGTCCAAGCTCCGCCCCTCCCCCAGCGCCCAGCCGCTCAAAAAGGCACTCGGTCAATTACGCGGCTAGCTAGCTAGCGCAGTGCTACATTATTAGCGAGAGCTTTATCAGCGCTTTTGTCAGTCATGAGTAACTTGATGACTTTTGGAGGCTGACTCCATTTTTTTAAAAAAATTTTTGCTTCATATTTAACTGTGCGAGCACTTTTTGAAACAACCGTTTGCTGCGTGAAGTAGACCAAATGGAATTGGATTGGGTGAGCGCTGCTTATGAGAACTGCGCCGACACATCTGCTGGTTAGGTGGCAATTTTCTCACCCTGATTGCGTCAGTACCACAGACACACACACACACACACACACACACACACACACACACACACACACACACACCCACACGTACACACACAAATGTCCAGGTGGCATCAAGTGGCTCAAAATTAAAGATGACAAATCTTCCGCGACAACAGCACCGAATCCCCACCCAAAAAAAAGCAATCAATTACAGTACATGGGCAGCATCATGCTATGCTAACTCATCACCTAGAACACGTTGCGCTAACACAGCAAAACATAACACAACATGAAGCGGCGCAAAAGTACAAATTCTAAAAAAATGCTCAATGATGCAACTCAAGTCAATATAAAAAAAAAAAAGTACACTCTTCGAAACAGTAGAAATGTTTTGTTTGCGGTCAATTGTTTTTACCGAGAGCAGAAGGGGTACGACGTTACTATTTGATACAAGTGACAAATATCAATCGATTCAAATATCATTATAATTATGATCAAATTCTCCACGAGATGGCGTGTTTGGCCACTACAGTACTGAAGGCTTTTCTATGATCTGTTATTATGCCTCCACAAGTAGTTGAGTCCTCTCTTTCCAGTCCTTTTATCAGCATTCATGCCCGCAAAGTTCATATTTGTCATCAACTTTGTCACGTTCGATTTGGGCTGCTAAAAAGGTTTCAGCAAACAACTTCGGTGCCAAACGTGGGCTACTTTTGCAGAGTCCTCCTCATCCTCCCTAACATCATCCTCCCTGCGTGTCCTACTGACGTTGCAGTCGTGTACTAAAAGCGCAAAAAAAAAAAAAAAACCACTGATTGGAACGTTTTGTGCCGTGACATGACGCTGTGTGTGCGCGTGTCCACGAGTGTGTGCGTGTGTGTGTGTGTGTGAGCGTGTGTGTGTGTGTTGCAACATCACGCCAACATGGCTGCGCGTCCACGAGCGACGTGGAGGTGCAAAGAGGAAATTGGAACTTACGCTCTGCTGCCGTGCTGGACCGTTCCGCCGTGGAGGCCATGGCCGGGTGCAGCTTGCGGCGAGCGGGCACGTCGGCGCAAGAAAAGGCGCTGCTCCTCCTCCTCGTTCGCTCTCCGGAGCAGCAGAATGGAAGCAAGCGGGAGAGGCGAGCACAAGCACGCCGCCGGTAGTCGCTCGTGTGCGGCGGAGGCTCAGCGTCACATCGCGCTCTGTGGATGATGATGAGGAGGAGGAGGAAGAGGAGGAGGAGGATGCTGATGATGCTGATGATGTCGCGCGAATAGCAGCGTCAGTCTCTCGCGCTCTCGCCGGTGATGACGCCTCGTTCATTAAGAATGACGAAGGAAATATGTCATATTTTGCATATGATAGCAGTGCGCATAAAAGTAGTGATGTCAACTCAGATGACCTCCCGTGTATTTTGGGGCATGGAGATTAGAGACTTTTTTTTTTTTTTTGTGGGTCTACTCGTGATTATCATGCCTACCACGTATTGTGAAGTGAAACTGACCTCAGGGGCTGAATTTTCAAAACATTCCAAGGACCACGGGAAATGACCACATTTGAACCTAGAAAGGCAGCATCAAACCAAAATGGCAGACTTCCTCTGTCTTTCCAGGCATAGGTTGTTGTGACTTTTTTTGTAGGTCGACTGACAATGAAATTTCATGTTGCTCAGTCAAACTGGATTTTGGATGCGATGCATTTTCAAAACATTCCTAATTGACCCTAAAATTTGCCACTTCAAATCATAAGGGTTGAATATTTTCAGACATGGCTTTTTGTGGGTCTTTTTAAGATTGATGCATGCCAAATTTAAGAATAACAAGGAAATAGAGAGTTCATAATGAAAGCTGTTTCCACAAGTCACGTGACCCGTTCTGCTTCTCACACCCATCATTCAATTTATCATGACTGCATAATAACCTCTGATGAAGCTTGCACCACTTTGCCACCACCACAGCGTAACCACACACACACACACGCACACACACACACACACACACACACACGCACACACCATCATTAAATCTGCCATGCCCGCTAATAACGTCTAATGAAGCTCACAGTACTTTGCCGCCACCATAGTGGAACCTCACACACTCACACACACTCGCCCAGGAATTGTCTGCGGAGGAAATGAGTTGCAAAAAAAAAAAAAACAAGAAGGCTTCCTCATGTGGAGAGAAATTGTACTGCAAGTCTTGTGACTATATACGTTCAGCCCCGGATGACCCGAAAATGGAAGTGGCCAAATTGAACTGTTGAACCAAATTTTCAGACTTTCTCTGTCGTTTTGGGCATGGGTGCTTGAGGCTTTTTTTGTGGGTCTACTTGTGACAGACATGTTGCTATGAAACTGGCTTTGAGGATGGAATTTTCAAATCATTCAAAGAACCAAATTGACCTTAATTGGCCGTTTCATACCAAAATAGCAGACCTCTTTTCCTTTCTTGACTTATTTTTGTGCATCTGCTTATCGGAGTCCGGAGAGTGCGGTCAGCTCCTCCTTTTCGACTCTTTTGTTTTATTTTGGGGGCAAAGCAAACAGGCAAAGCAGCCAGCAGCAGCGTGCACAATAAATAACACGCTGGTGGGTGTTTCTTATGTAAGCGCCTCTATATAACCTGCTCGCTTGTGATGTTCCTCATCCCTTTTTCTTCACTGATTCATTCCGGGGTCGGTCCTGCGGCCAAGGAAAGATCATTTTACACGCCAGCACTCATTTTTGACAGCACCACCAACCCCGTTTTTTTTTTTGGTGGGTCTCCTCATGATAGACATGGCTACCAAACATCATGTTGCTGAGTGAAACTCGCTTCAGGGACTGAATTTTCAAAACATCCCCGGGGGAGGTTTTGTGCATTGCACTGCAGCAAGTGTGTGTGTGTGTGTGTGTGTGTGTGTGTGTGTGTGTGTGTGTCACAATCACAACAATGAGTTGTTCCAGGTAGGCATCATCTCCTACACGATGCAGGTCGTGGTCCAGGTGCACCACTTGGCAGCGGGAATAGGTACTGCCGAGTAGTAGGAATGCCAGTTGATGGAAAACTACCAAGGGCAGTGGGAGCGGGGGGGGGTCAGTGTCGCGAGAGTAATTCAACCCCTCCCAAACACACACTGCCCAGTGGAGAGTTTCCAGGGGATCAACAACTGGAGATTCTTCAGTGATGATACGAGTGGTCCTCATTTACTTACTGTACTGAAGTCCCCCCCTGTCATCAAGCCAGACAATGCTGCTTGGCTTTCAATATCCCTTGGTTGCATGCCATACATCCAAACCGGTCTTCCATTTCTTGCCAAACGCTTTGGAAATTCTGTCAGAAATCGAAGTCGAACATGTCTGCACCACTCATTCTTATCAACCTCTATGAGACACAAAACGCCGCTTGAATGGCATGAACAGTAAATGGCAATGAAATCAGTGCAAGCCAGATTTTTTTTTTTTTGCAAGATGTTAAAAACATTGATTGTCACGATGGCCTGAGATGGCCCGCCACGAAGATGATTTGGGCACCTTGACTGAAATCCAAAATGTTACATGACGATGATTATATGAGCTTGTGTTTGTGCGCACTCATGTTTCGATGAGCAACAACAAGGCGCCGGCTTTGTGAGGACAATCCCGACTCAGCAGCAGCTTACATAACGGGAGTGTGTGATGTCGAGCGGGACACATTGTTACCCTGACAGAGCGTTTCTGTTCAAAAGCAACACTGGCAAACTTCCACGGAATCTTCTACTTGGGGGGTGCGGGCCGACCGACAGACCAACCAAACACCGATGCCTCTTCGGCCCAGGGAAGTCACAAAGAGGAAGAGTTGGCCAGATTTCCTGGCATCTCATCCATAGACAAAAGGTTTCAGAGGATTTTGGCTCTTTTTTGTTTACTTATCGAAATAATAAGTCAATATTGAACAGGTTCACCTGAACATTTGTCAGATGGGGCCACGGCATAAAAAACACTTGCCACCACAGGTGCCACCAGAATGTGTCTTTTTGAATAGTGTCACAAAATGGATGTCAGCCCCTGGCGCCACGAGAAAAACAAGAGTTTCCAGTTGTCGTTATCTTCGTTGTGTTATCTTCTTGTGAGACCGAAATGGCGAGAGTAATTGACGCCCCCGAAAAACGTTTATACTTACTATACTATAGTTGTCTAAATGAAGCAGCTACGGTCCATATAACATATGGGCCTTACAACTATTTGCACTGTGTAATTTAATAATGATGTAACATGATTTAATTTTAACTGTTGGAGTGCAAACATTTCCGTTACAGCTGCACCATGCCATTACAAGAAAGGATTTCTATTCTATTCGGGGTGGCGTTATGGTAATTTTACGAATGTCAAACGCAAAGAAGTGGGGCTTCACACTACTTTGTCGCGTTCTTGACGAACTAAACTCGGGCAAAGGTCCTCCTGTCCAGCAGACACATAACAAACCATGCCACGCAGCTCCCATTGGATCAACCGGTAGATAAATAGAGACGGTAACCCCTCCCTTAGACCTTCCATTGGTCCAACCGAGGGAGAAATACAAAACCTCGCCGCCTATTGGCTGTTTATCAACCCGCATAACAGCTTCTATTGGCTATTTTGGACGAGAAATTAAAACCTCTCCGCCTATTGGCTAGTCATCTTTAGTCCCCGCCCTTTTGTTTAAGGTGAGCTTGAGGGGGCTGGCTGACGTCGCTTACTTACAGCAGCTGGTGCTTGCAGTCTCGCTCGGCGGTCGTGGTCTCACGTGGCATCCAGCATGAAATTCGTTCGCTCTATTATGAAGAACGCCGCGCTGGCGAGTCTTCCCAAACACATCGAGCATTTCTCCAAATTCTCCCCTTCGCCGCTCTCCATGAAGCAGTTTCTCGACTTCGGTGAGTGTCGGATCGGCATGCAAACGAGCACGGCTACGTGACTTAAGGAGAGAATGCTGCTCATGGGATTGCATTGGGATATTGTGCCGCACGGACGCTATTTTTTTTTTTTTGATTTGATTTGATTGAAGTGAATGTCATTCAATTCCGTCGTGCAATGAATGCGCCGCAATTGGCCGGCCCGTGCATGGATGCTGGTCATTTGAATACAGTATTGCGTCAGATATGACTCGGGAAATAGGAGGAGATCTCAGGAATTTCTCTCTAACATATTTCAAATAAAAATAAAATAATTTCTAATGTGATATCACGGCCACCGCAGAATTTTTTTGGTATCAGTGATGGCAAAGAGAAAGGTGGTGGGGGGGTTTATAGAGGTGGTAAAAGTACTCTCACGATGTTGTCATTATGATACAATTTGCAAGGCAAAAATGAATTCATCTCTTTGTGGTTGTATATTATCTGTAAAAGTGGAAATGTCCTGAATAAATTCCAATGACATTTAAAAAAAACAACAACTTTTTTTTCCGACTCTCTGTTCCCGAACGCTTCCATTCTTCTGTTTTCATCATTTGGAATGCTAAATGGTTCCTTCACGTTTTTCCCGATTGTGTCTCGCCAGGTTCCATCAACGCCTGCGAGAAAACATCCTTCGCCTTCCTGAGGCAGGAGCTGCCAGTCCGGCTGTCCAACATCATGAAGGAGATTAACCTGTTGCCTGACAAGCTGCTCACCACGCCCTCGGTGCAAACTGTGCAAGGCTGGTGAGTGTTCGTCTGTCTTGCGTCAGGATTCGCTCAAGGTCGCAAATGTTTGCAAAACGTTCCCCTAACGTTCGTCGGCGGTTTCAGTGGTTTTTGTTGTCAGATGGAAATGTGTTCAAAATTCCCGCGTGACCAGAAAAGTCCACGCATTGGGCAAGCCTTTGCGACCTTGAACGAACCCTGGCAAACTCTGAGGGGAACGCGACATTTGCTGCCCTTTAATGGAGAAAAAAGAAGTGATTTTATTTAGTGTACAATTTCAAAAATTATTGGCAGACTGCAATTGGCACTTCCTACCCAGTTGCATTTGGGAATTATTTTACAGACCGCCCCAAGGTACTACAGATTAATGAACGCTGCTTGAAATAATACAAGAACAACAATAAAAAAACACGCGCGCACCCACTTGACTCAATGAACTCGCCCGGCAAGAAAAAAAAGCCTCTGCAGCGGAGTCGTTTTTCAACATATGCATGTCCACTGATGTCGCGCACTCGAAATAACACCATCGCCCTCTGACCAAATAGTACTCGCTACTGTCGGGTCCGCACGTATTCACTGAGGGGTGGGGGGGCCGGGGTAGTTTGAGGAGACTGCTGAGGGGAAGGGTGGGGGTTTCCTCCTCAGCTGTGAACTTTAGCCCACTTTCTCTTCATGTGACTGTCTTCTGCTGGCTTGCATGCTTATTCCATCCACTCTGTTGTGAAGGAGTGGCAATTTGACACGTGTGTGTGCGTGTGTGTGTGTGTGTGTGTGTGTGTGTGTGTGTGTGTGTGTGTGTGCGTGTGTGTGTGGTGAGTGACACACAAAGTTAG